GGACCAAAGAACTCTGAGGGGAGACTGACGGGTGAGGAAAGTGGACAGTGGAATCATGTGACTAGGAGAACCAGGCAGAGGAAAAGATGGGCTAGTGAAGGAGAAATAGAGCTCAGGAACAGGTTTGCAGAGTTGCAAAATGAAGAAGGGGCACAGCAGGTGGTCACTGAAGGTGGGAGGGCAAGGAAGAAGAGAAGAGCAGCTAGTCCTATAGGAAAAGGGGAAGAGTCAATGGAGATAACATCACCAATTATGAGCCCCAGGAGGATACAGGATGGGTTGAAAAGGATTATAAGGGAGAATAGGAATCGAGAGGGCTTGCAGCCAGAGGGAACAGGGGATAGATTGGAGAATCGCACAATCACCAGGAAAAGGCAGGTCTACGTGATTGGGGACTCCTTACTGAAAAGAATAGACAGGCCTGTAACCAGAGCTGATCCAGAGAACAGAAGGGGGTGCTGTCTGCTGGGTGCTAAGATACGGGATGTGGACCTGAGGCTGAAGAGGATCCTCACGGGGGGCGGGAAAGAATCCATTGATTGTCCTTCATGTGGGAACAAATGATACGGCTAGATTCTCGCTGGAACATATCAAGGGAGACTATGCCAGGCTGGGGAAGATGCTTAAGGAAATTGAGGCTCAAGTGATCTTCAGTGGGATTCTGCCTGTTCCTATAGAAGGGCAACAAAGTGTGACAAGATTATGGCGATCAATAGATGGCTCAGGCAGTGGTGCTATAAGGAGGGCTTTGGGATGTATGGCCACTGGGAGGCATTCATGGACAGAGGACTGTTCTCTAGGGATGGACTTCACCTGAGTAGGGAGGGAAATAGACTTCTAGGATGGAGGCTGGTACAACTGATTAAGAGAGCTTTAAACTAGGAATTTGGGGGGAGATGGTTGGGAGATGTCCAGGTAATCTCCACGCCAGATTTCAACATTGTGAGGGAAGAAAACGTAGTAAGAAAGGATACAGCCGTGGGTAGGATAATGGACATAAGGAGGAAGAGTAGTGTAGATACCAGTCTAATAGGTGATACTGGCAGTAGAATGTCTGTGTCTAATCGGGTAAAAAATGTGAGCAAGGCCAAACAGCAAAAATTAAGATGTTTGTACACTAATGCAAGGAGCCTAGGTAACAAAATGAAGGAACTAGAGCTACTGGTGCAGGAAGTGAAACCAGATATTATAGGGATAACAGAAACATGGTGGAACGGTAGTCATGACTGGAGTAAGGTATTGAAGGGTATGTGCTGTTTAGGAAAGACAGAAATAAAGGCAAAGTTGGTGGAGTAGCATTGTATATCAAGGATGAGGTAGACTGTAAAGAAATAAGAAGGGATGGGATGGATAAGACAAAGTCTGTCTGGGCAAAAATCACATTGGGGAAGAAAGCTACTAGAGCCTCCCCTGGGATAGTTCTTGGGCTGTGCTAAAGACCGCCGGGATCCGATTTGGATATGGATAATGTGAAAGTAGAATGAATTATATTATAAAAGTAGAATGGGTTAAAGAAATGCTGTATGTTCCTTTAAGCAGGAATGAGGAATGTTGAGATAAAGTTATCAGGAAGAGAAACATTAAGGTATTCAACAATGGGTCCACTTAAGCTGATGGTGGGACATTAACAGGAGATCGGTAAGAGTTAATAAGGAAATAAGATATGTGTGTCTAGCCCCAGGTAAACTTATCAGTTCTGCTCCCTTTGTCATTTTGTTAAGTTCCCGCCCTTTTTATCTGTATAAATAAGGTGGTTTAAGCCTTGCATGGCACTCACATTATCTGGGTGTATTAGCAGAGCGCTTTTGCTAATAAACAGAGTAGTCTGACAAATTGTGAGTCCTGAATTTGACTTTGACAATCGAGACCTCTTTAATGTTTTTAATGAAGTAAATACTAATGGGAATTGTGTGATCATGGGAGACGTTAACTTCCCAGATATAGACTGGAGAACAAGTGCAGGTAATAATAATAGGGCTCAGATTTTCTTAGATGCAATAGCTGATGGATTCCTTCACCAAGTAGTTGCTGAACCAACAAGAGGGGATGCCATTTTAGATTTGGTTTTAGTGAGTAGTGAAGACCTCATAGAAGTAATGGTTGTAGTGGAAAACCTTGGTTTGAGCGATCATGAGCTAATTCAGTTCAAACTGAATGGAAGGATAAACAAAAATAAATCTGTGACTAGGGTTTTTGATTTCAAAAGGGCTAACTTTAAAAAATTAAGGAAATTAGTTAGAGAAGTGGATTGGACTGAAGAACTAGTGGCTCTAAAGGCGGAGGAGGCCTGGAATTACTTCAAGTCAAAATTGCAGTAACTATCAGAAGCCTGCATCCCAAGAAAGGGGAAAAATTCATAGGCAGGAGTTGTAGACCAAGCTGGATGAGCAAGTGTCTCAGAGAGGTGATTAAGAAAAAGCAGAAAGCCTACAAGGAGTGGAAAATGAGAGGGATCAGTAAGGAAAACTACCTTATTGAGGTCAGAACATGTAGGGATAAAGTGAGAAAGGCTAAAAGCCATGTAGAGTTGGACCTTTCAAAAGGAATTAAAACCAATAGTAAAATGTTCTATAGCCATATAAATAGGAAGAAAACAAAGAAAGAAGAAGTGGGACGGCTAAACACTGAGGATGGAGTGGAGGTTAAAGATAATCTAAGTATGGCCCAACATCTAAACATATTCTTTGCTTCAGTCTTTAATGAGGCTAATGAGGCGCTTAAGGATAATGGTAGGATGACAAATGGGAATGAGGATATGGAGTGTGACAGACCCAGACCAGTGGGGTACAGGAGTC